TGGTATGGAGTTTTACAAGTGTAGTCACCTTCTATTGATATTTTTTTTTGTCTGAACGTTTTCATTGTCTCCTGGTTCTGAAAGATACATTTTGTTGCATTTTCTCTATACTCACCTATCCCAAACTACTATTGGTACTTAGGTTTGACAGAGAAAGTGCTTCAGAGTACAATCAGTGAACAAGAAGCTGAAAAGCAGGTGATTGTAGCCTTTTTATCCCAATGAACTGCTTAACATCCATGTCATGAGGAAAAGTATTTATTTGAAGAATTAGTGCTAAATTAAGACACTATTCACTTTTTGATATTTTTTTGTGAGGTTTTGTGCATGTTAATCTTCTAAAGGAGTTTTTGTTTCTTGCCGTCCTGTCAACTGAGCAGGAGTGATAGGACTCTTTGTTTTTCTCGGACAACGTATCATTTTCCCACACATGTATATGACAACATGAACTTCAAAACTTTCCTTCTTCTGTGACCTGAAGGTAGCGTTAGCAGTCTGTAAAAACTAAAATTTGTTCATGCAGTAGTATCTGTGTGCACAAGTTTTCTTCATTAATTATCACTATTTTGTGTAGATACAAATTTGATTTGACGGTTTGAATAGGGAGAAAAACACAAGAATATAAATTTTGATGATTCAATTACTCAATAGTCTAAATCCTCCTTAAAAGGAATGCCACCAATTAATTATATATATTGCTTTCAGAATGAAAATAAGAAGTTCATAATCTCTATGACAGTAAACCACCAACTGCTGAGTACCCTCCTTGTGAGATTATATTTGTAATATCATGTAAGAGGTTAACTCGGAAAAGTTTCAAGAGCAGACAAAAACTAGATAAACTAAGAGATTTGACCTGAAATCTATCCTATAAATTTAAAATCTCAGGTCATGATTTGTACTACTGCAGACGCTCCTTCTGAATTATGCATTTAGCAAAATATTGAGCTGGAATTTGGAGAACAAGTTGATATGAACTAATGGCGTGCTACTCCTTTTAGAGAACTCTTTATTGTTTAGCAAACAATTTTTTGGTGACTCGAAGAGCTTCTATCAATTTGCAATCCTTTTTCTAATGCCATAGGCCCATAACATATATACATTATAACATAAAATCAGTTTACTTTTGCATTGTAAGGGAGATTGACTGACAAAAAAATATCAATTCATACAATTATACAAACATTAAAAAATACCTTAAAATAACTCTACATTATTAAATACCTAACTAAACTGTAGCACGTGCATTGCACGTGCGTACACTAGTAGTAAATAGAAATTTTAGCAGGCAAAATGGTGCGTAATTTTCTAAAAAATGGGGGACTACTATATGGTCCACAGTAACTGTCTTAACACCATGTTCTGTTCTTTTGATAGTTGGTAACCAGATTTCTTTGTACTTTCTCCATTGTTTCGTCCTTGATCCTTCTTGAAGAAAATTGTCAGATTTCATTATTACAATACATTTTTCTTAAAAAAATAAAAAAACCCTCATTTTCACAGAAAAGCTTTAAAACCTATGAATGGAAATTTGCGAAAAATAATCTATGAAGAGGTTCTGGTAATTTTTAGAAAAGGGATGGGCTGTGAAACGGCTACTTTCAAAGGTTGAAATTAAAAATGTCTTGTTGCAAAGGACATATATACAATTAACGTCAGTTCGTCTCTATCTGCAACATGTCAATGCGAAGGACTAAAAAATGAGGTAAACTCCCTTCAAATCCAAGAATCCTTCTCTAGATTATGTAATAAGTCTTGGCTCTTTCCGTGTATTATTTTCCAAAAGTCATTTTATTGTTTTCTTCGTCACACATTTCCATGACATACGACGTATGTGGCTGTTGCCTGTTTGGCGTCTATGATTTTGGTTTGTGGTATTTGTAGTGTAGAATAAAACCTAAAATCTGCATATTTTTCCTTGTTGAAATCTCAGGATTGTTTATGTTAAATTTTGTCTTTTTTAGATTGTTTTCTTCTTGTTCATTGATTAGCTCATCAGTATAAAGGCCTGTCAGTGCTTATTTTTGGATTTGTGTTTCTGGGATTTGATTTTTTTTTTTTTTTTGGTAAATTAAGAAATGGGTCACTTTTTGCACGCAGTTTTATGTTTTTTGTACATTTTCTCAGTTTATTATTTTGTAGGCAAATGCCATTCTTTGTCTAATACAGATCAAGAGAAGGACAAGGTTAAATATTTGCCTGGACAGCCAGCCAATGTTGGATTCAATCAATATTC